GGCATTACGATGAATGGGATCAGAATTCTTCTCGGTATGTACCCCTTCGGCGGACACTCTCTTCAGCACCTTGCATGGAGCATGGACGCCCGAGCCGCCGCAGAAGGGCCCGTGCCAATGCGAAACAGTGATGTGTTGTTTTCACTGCTGGGTTGGAGGGGCAACTCCCCAGTTGATCCTCTCCAGGGTGCTTCGCCGAAGTGAACTTTACAGTATTATATACAGATCCTGAGTACACAAAAAAATCTGAAAAACTCGCAGGCAGTAATTAACACCTGCGGCCTGCGGCTCACTTTTTATTGAACCCCGAGTGTTTTCTGTTGGGTTTTATTGTCTTGTGGTGATGCTTTACGGTGCTTTCGTCTGTGTCAACCATGGGTGGCTGCTCGCCGGTGGTCCGGTCAACAACTTGCTCTGCGAAACCAAAGTTGCTACTGCCTGAGGAGGGGAGGAAATGAATGAAATGAACCAAGCAATGCCATTGCTGCTTTTCAGGGAACACAACAATTTTAGCCAGTGCTAACCTTGAGTCAAACATGGAAGCAGGGATGCCAAAGCTTTACTTTACCTGTTCTGGCGACCAATGTGGTCGGAAGACTTCTTCCAGTTTAGAAGGCTCTTGAAGATTGCAGGATTTTAATTAGATGTGTTTAAATGTTTCAGATGTGTTCTTCCTGGAATAACCCAAAACAACCAGTCTATCATGGCCATCAGCTGTCTTCCACGGGTCTCTTCTCACTGTTGAGCTGGAGGAAAAACAATCCGGCAAAATGGACACGATCTCGGATTTTGTCTGGAGATCCTCACCCAAATTTGCACTTAGATGGAGAAACTCGATGTTTCTCGACCAACACTGCGTGCACATCGATGAACGGAACGAAGTGAAATCACGTGAACGCCCCAAGCAGGGCACGTGCAGGGCACGGGAGTCCAAACTTTGCCTCCCAAGGTTCGCAAGCCAAGTCCACAAACAAGGTAGGTCGAGTCTTCGACCTGACCAAATTGACGAATATCATGTCTGTGGTACCCATGGCAATTCAAACATGAACACACATCCAAACCCCCGACACAGGCTTCAAAAGGCACCGAAAGCAATCGAACATTGAAGTAGCTAGATTTCGACTTCTGCAACCCCAAAGGGGAGGCAGTGCAAAACATGGAAGTGAAATAGCAAGAAGGACGAGAGCAACGGAAAAGGCACCGCAAAGTAGAGCAAAGGAAAAGCCGTCGGATGCCAAGCGGAAGTGGGGAACACAGGACGAGTGTGGCTCCCAGAGAGTGCGTCAATGTGCGTACGTGTGGACTGTGGACCAATGAGCACGTATGATCTATGAATATCTATGATCTGTATGAGTAGGTGAGGTGAGTGGGTAAGCAAACCAGTGTGCAAAAGGAGTGGAATGATGTGGAATGCAAACATCTGAAGGCAGTGTAGAGATCTTGAGAAGCAGCAACAAAGACCGAGAACATTTTGGAATATGACAATTATTTTGCTTTCTCCGGGTGTTTTCAAATGTGTTCAATATTCTACACACAAAATTCATGTCTGACTCTTCACTCTTCCTCCAGTTTGCCTGGTACACTGCAGTCTTCATGAACCAACTTGGGTCATTACTTGTAGACCCAAAGACGGATCAGAAGCTTCTTTAACCGAAGAAACTCTCGCAAACCGAAGTCATGTTGGTGCAAAAAATGGATGCAAGTTTGAGATGGTTTGAGTCCGTTTGAGCCAACGACAACGTCCGTTTGAGCTCTCGACGTCAGTGCAACATGTGTGCGCATGTGTTGCGGAAGAGTCTAGAGTCTATCAGGGTAGCAACCTAAGCGCCCTCTGCAACCTGCCCTGGCTTTCTCAACATCACAGCGATAACGTTTGCACTTTGACATAGCCCGTTTGATATCGCTTGTTGAGGATGTTCGGACCGCCCTCTGCTTCACCTCACGACCTCGGTCCTTTTTGGGCGCCCAGCTCTCAGTCTCCCTTTAGGGGATCGGACATTCTGGACGGTCAAGGCCCTAAGCAAGACTGCTGCTTGCCTTTGGAGATGCCAGCTCATTAAAGTAAGCAACTTTGATGAAGTAAGATCAAAGCAAATCAAATATGTAGTTGAATTTATAATGGAATTTAGAATGACACCATATATTGTATCCAGCAATTCCCGGATCTACATTAATCACCATTTCCCTACCAAAAAGCAACATGCACTCTTTCCTTTGTCTTGACCTCTGGATAGTGGCAAAGGCAGAACTCACCCACAATCCGGCATTTGGCACAACATCTCAAGTATGTGGCTTTGGGATGCTTTGGCTAATAGCGCGTGATTCCGGGATTCCAGTCAGGCCTTCTGAACCAGGAAAGTCAGTTGTCTTCTGAACCCCTCTGTGAGGGCTACGAGTCAGAGCTCCATTGTCCATCTCCAATTGACTTTCTTTCCCCCGACGCCATTCCAAGTCACCCGGCGCCTTCACCAGCGCAGCTGGGTCTACGAGTTGATCGATCAACCCTCTTCAGTTGCAATGGAAACATGCTGTAAGAATGTGAAAAGTTCTTGCTTTAAACATGGCCCTGTGCTGGTCACTCAAAAAACATGGCCCTGGCCCACTGTTTTCAAACATTGCTGTACCACCAACGGTTCACGGTCGTCTTGAAGAGTTTGGATGAACCTTTCTCTACGGCTTTCTCAAACGACCATCAACCTCGATGGCAGCAAAGCTGCAGCTCCTGGTCTCCCAGAAACCAGGAGATCAGGGATTTGTGTTAATTCTGGACATATTGAATATCATCCACGGAACCTGCTTTGAGGATTCTAGAAGTTTGGACTCTAAGTTTGTCTGATCATCCGCGAGAGAGCCTGATGCAGAGACAAAAATTGCAATGTTCAGGAGGAAACACTGCCTCCTTAGCCAGGAATTGAGGTTCTATTCTAAGCTTCCAATGAAAGATACATATAAAACTACTATAGATATATATGTATATGTATCCGCCATCAAAATGGGTCGTACAATATTTTCTCCCCCACTTCGCCCAAAGGGGTCCAGCCCGTTCCCGTTGAGTCAATGCTCCGTTTGCCAAAGGAGCTGGCCGGTTACACTCCGACTGGCAGGTTGACCGACCAATTGTGGGGATTCAGGGTTAACGATGTCAATGCAGGTCAGTAATATACCTCCCTAGGGATCCAAGTACCTCCTCAAAAAAGGTACTTGGACCCTCCAAACCTACATAGCGGTGTCTCCAATCACCTGCTGAGAAAGTACTTGGATCCCTAGGGCCTACATTGACATTATACAAAGAAACATATGTAGTTATATATATATATAGTAACCAGCACCACGGAAAGGATAGTTATTGGATAGAAAATACGTCTTCAGGGGAGTCTATAACCACCTTTTGGGTGGTGCTGGTATATATGATTTTTTTTGCGCATGTACGGGCTAGTTGTTCCCAAACATCTTAAGGGCCATTAAGGCCCCTTTTGCCAAACCTCTGAGTTGTTTCGGCAAGGCACCCTTGGGCCCGAAGGGATTGCTTGGGCAACAACAAGGACCTAAAGTTGTGCTCTCAGTTTGATCGACCATTTGGAGGTGCGTTCTTTTTTCAACGACCATGTGCGACCCAAAACCCCGGTCCCCTCGCAGATGGGCATCGAATCTGCTCGGCCGTCACTCGAGAAAAGGCACATCCGAAGCCTGGCGACGTTCCGACCGCCCGGCCGGGAGACCACCACGGACCACGGGGGAGGAGACTCAGTGCGGACTCATGGGTGGGACATGCGTTAACATGGGTGGGACCCAAAACCATCAAACAGCTAGACTCTCACACTTCGGAATGCATCATGTATCATCTGCTTCGGAGCCATGAATGAGCCCCTAGCGACCCTATAGCGGTCTCAAATTTCCCTTTGTCAAGACCCAGCTTGATCCCACCTAGCAACCTTCCCAAGTTGACCATAGCTGACCATAGTTGACCGAAGAGAGATGCACACCCTTTTCGTGTGCGTTCGACCCATGCCGCATCGTCGCCCGTGCCACATTCCGCCCGTTCCGCATCCGAAAAGGGCACACCTTGCTATTCCTCCTTGGCGCCGTGGTCTCTTTCGAGGCTTGTTGGAGCTCGTGGTCTTCACGCGACGACGACGACGAGGGTCTTCGCTCAGCACTCTTGTACTCCGAGAAGACCGACTCGGGGATGCAACCTGCGGTCTCCGGTCTGCGTGGCGGTCTCCGGTTCCGTGAGCTTGCTTTCCTTCTTTGCCCATACAATTCTGTCACTAAACCTTGTGAATTCTTGTGTGGCGAGATGGCTTACACTTCTCCACACTTCTCCAACAAGTTCTGGGCTTCGGGTCGTCTGGTAGAGCATCGTAGCACTTCAGCGGGTCGACCGACCTACTGATCGGTGGTAACCCGCACTCATTGGACTGTCTGGGAGTGGCACATCGCTTGGGGAATACCGTATCCGACACAACACACAAATGGTACACGAAACATCGTGATCATCATGCCAACCCTGATCCGACCGTGTGCTTCTTCTACCCCTGCGAGACTGTGCATCTTTGCCCAGAAAATCATAGCAAAGGTACCGGGATGAACACCAAAGTGCGTGATGCCTGCTGCTGATAACAAAACTCTCCGCCCACGCCCAGTCTCCCTTTTGCAGACAAGGGAACTGATGCGACAAATCCTGGGCCCAACGCACCAACACAGGATCAAAGTCATTCAAAATCCATGACGCAAAAGAATTTCCCCAGCACCATTCTCACACGCTCTTCTTTTCTCACAGGGATCATGGACCTTGAACTTCCCCCCAGAACGGACACGGGACTCTCCCCTTAGGCCCTCGGACCCGCAATACCCCGCACCTACGAGCGTGTGTGCCACACCACCAGCTGCACCACTTGGACTTGAGCCACTCAAACACCACTGTACATGTTGAATCTCTTGTGGTTTTCTGCCTTTCAAATGGTCAAGGTTTCTTTACTTCAATGTTCCAGTGGTCCAACTTATTCCCGCTGCCCGAGTCGCTGATGGATGTCGAGCCCTGCCGCATTCCGTGCAGTCATGTCAGCGCCCGCGCGTGACAACGTCTCCACCACCTGCGCCATGCGACGGCGATGGAAGTTTTCCACAGTGGAAGCCGGCCGACGGGTGGCGTGTTGGTTTGTTGCACATTGATGAGTCACGGATGGCAACCACAGGAAGACCCAACATGAAGATGCCATGGCTCCCCTACGTGACCAATGAGATGCAAATTCCACAGGGGGTGTTATGACTCACATCTTGGAAAGTTTCCAGGTGGGTTGTGAGGCTTCCCCGCTGAGCTGCCCACAACTGAATCTGGATCAATTGGTCGCTGGTCAAGCCGAACCAACCAAACAATTGAAGGGTCTAATCTAAGCAGAATTGTCTATCTGATCCAATCCAAACGAAAGCTTATGGCGATCCACGCATAGATATATTCTACAGTATACAGCGGACATCAGCCATATAGTATATAGGAAACATCAAGAACATAAAAAGAGCAAAACATGTGTTTTATGTGACCAATCACCACTCCTCTGAATTGATAACCCTTGGCTCGTCACGTCCAAAACACCCAACCGTGCGCCTTGGCATTGCCCAAGGCTGCAGCCGCCAGCACCGGTGTGGAGCCTTGGCCCAACGAGAACAAGCGCCGCAGCGTGGAACTCCGGAGTTGCCCAAAGACCTCGGCACAGCGCAGCGCTGGAGCTGGGAGGAGCGGAGAGAGAGAGAGCACGGTCAAATTAGCTCAAAATAGCCGGCAGGTCCAAGGTCGTGTACAGAATTCTCAAGTCTCTCTACAGGTCTGGTCTCCTCCAAAAGAAACACCTGGACTTCTCAATTCACCAAAGCCATGCTTGGCCTGCTATGCATCTGTAGATTTTGGTGAAGAGATGGTCTAAAGACAGGGCCTGATGATCGATGACTCGTCTTCATCTGCGCAACATCCGGACAGTCACTTTTTTGGTCTACAACATACGCGATAATATTCTATTCATGGCTGGATGGTTCTTTCATGTTCTTTCATCCACTGAACCATAAACCCTAAACCTCATCGTTGCTTCACGCCCCACGGAACCTCATCGACATGTCTCGACCGGTTTCACGGTCGTCCTGACAGGTTCTGAAAAAAGCCCAGAGGCAATGTAAGGTCCAGCCTTGGACCAGCGATTGAAGTGGCACACAGTGTTGATCTCCAAGCCTCCGCCAACACGGTTCCCCGGCCACACCGCCGTTCCCACGCCACGCCGGAACCCCGCGTGTGCCACAGCCCGAACGAAGGATCCAACGTGGGGCCAGGCGCCAGGGGATCTTTCCCAGACCATCCACTGTCTGGAAGAGTTACATACATTTACCATACATTTATCCAATTTACCCCAATGTAGGTAACTACTCCATACATGGATGGTCCGAGTGTGGACATGTTGTTTCCTTCTGTCCTTCTGCACCCATTGCGCAAGCTGAGCGCTGCAATTTGGGCCACCAAGGTCTGGAAAAGGGGCAAAAAAACCTTCGGTGGCAGACCGGTGCTGTGGCTGCGGTGTTTGGTCTCCACATGATATGTCATTTGTTTGACTTCTGTGTTGTAGGTGTCGCAAACGCTTTGTCTTTGGCCAGCGCAAGAGGAAAAGAGGACTTCTGACACACACATATATACGGATCCGCATGCGATCGTTGTGAAGCAGGAGTACCACAATGGGGCAAGTCCGGCCAATGCGATGCATGTCTTACTTACAAGTGCTACTGAGGCGTTTGTTGTTCTTCTTGGGTGAATCCAAGCGGGAAATGTAAGGAACTTGACCAAGTCCTTGCCCCCTTTGGATGGTCCACCAATAATTTATGTAGCTGATGTTCTGTTTTGCCAGGTCAGACTCAGTTGGTGCTGTATTGCATTGTCAAATAGAAAAGTGTTCGATCCAAGTTGTATTCTTTCCATGTCCTGAGATAAATACCCTCAGTATCCCTCAGTCCTAGGTTTGATAGTCATGAATCATGAATATCGTTGCTTTCATCAATTCCACCATGTGCAAGGTGACTTCACCACCTTGACTTCACAACCTTGGACCTCAATTTACCAATGAGTCTCATGGATTTCCAACTGGCGACCTCGGTGCCAGTCTCACCTCTGCGGACCGTCTCACCGGCTCGGCCTTCGCCCAGCAAGCGCTCCAAGGAGTTCGCTGAGCTGGTGAGGCCCAAGAAGTGCAAGGCGCTCAAACCAGCCCATTGGTGCGTCACATCTGCACGGGCGTTCAACAGTGGCTCCACCTCGTTCAACAGCCAGCTGAGAAAGACAACAAACACGACTGAACGACCGCACGACGTACGTGCCCGCAGTGGAAAAAGGACACACAGAAAATCAATCCACATTGGATAAGCCTGAAAATCAGTGGTTCGTACTTGAAACATCCCATATATGATGTTTTTCTGGTGGATCCTCCACCAAAAATGTGGCTCAGGTACCCTTGAAAACAAGATCCGGATAAGTCGAAGTCTTTGCTCGACAATACGTGGGGTCTGAAAATCAAGAGCATGTTCATCCGGACTACAGAATGTGTGACATGATAAGCTAGAAAACGATGCCATGGAACATGTAATGTAAGTTCAATATTCTATAGATGATATATGATGATATGGTGTTGCTGTAAGTAAGTCAAAAAAACACAACATTATATGAATCATGATCAACATCTTCGGCGACACCACCAACTGCATCAGAACAACAATGATTGTCTTGGATTTCCTCCGCTTGGCCAATTCCTTAAGGGGGAATCTCCTTCACTGTATACTGCTAAGATTTCCTTCCTTCACTCGTCCCCAAAACCGAACCATCCCGTATATCCAATAGCGATGGCCTCCAAGCTACTAGCGATGGCCTCCAAGCTACTAAAGCGACCCTGGAAACCAACATCTCGTGTGGTCACCAAGCAGTGACCGGTTTTCCGGCACAACACGCGACCCTCGACGGGACCACGCCGAGGGCACCAAATGCTCTGCATCATTGGCGAGAGCAAAGGTCAAGGGCCGGCAGCCCATGCAGTCTTCCGCATTGGGGTCAGCGATCTGCGACATGCTTGGTGAAAACACGAATGGGAAACCCCCACAAGGTCTTTCAGGGGGTTGTGGGGGTCTGAAGGCTTTTCAAAAGACCAACGCAGAAAAACAATGCTGCAAAGAATTCCCAGGGAGTCCGTTCCGCTGGTTGCTGCTGAAGCGAAGTTCCGATCTCCCAGCGTTGAACGTCCTAGGGTCTCCCAATGGGTTGAAATGCTTGATGTTCCTCAACTGGACATTTCTCCATGGGACTGATGCGGACTGGCCAACACAAATGAGGATCTGGACACCCAAAACTCCACTCGGTGCAAGCCATGCAAAAGCACCTGAGCCCCTTCAACCTTCTTTTTTGCAGGAGCTTGGGTGGTCTCCAAGGCTTGTTGAAATCGTTGGTTGTTGGCCTACACTTCATCCAAGCTCGGGAAAGGGGATCTGCTCCGATTTTCTGCCATGCAGGTCGGAATTGGACAAAAGAAATGGTCGCGAGGGCTTTGACTCTCAGTCAATCTTGGTCCTAAAGTTCAGTTTTCTTTGCAAATTAACTCAGCGATGTTGTCCAGTCAGCTGTGTGCAGTGTTGGCCACCTCTGTTTTTGTGCAACAGTGCTCTGATTGTACAAGTCCCCAAATGGAGCTTGCAATTAATTGCAGCATTAAGTATACTACTCAACTGAGTTAAAATATGGAATCAATATTTAAAAAGTACATCACAACCGGGGTGATTAATTGTTACTTGAAATCACTGCTTTTAACAAGGCTTACCAGGTTATTTTATCAGAATACAACTGAAACCATTTCTGACACTGACTGTCATGCGAAATTAAGTTGATCAAACAAATGCATAATTCCTACGTCTTCCCTGCTCCTACTTCGTCCCTACTAATCGTCCCGTCTGAATGGCGGCCTCCAACAGGGATGTTCGATGAAACACGAGGGACCGCCAAACACGAACTCCGCACAGCCCGCGCCATCTCCAAGAGTGTCCGGCAGGCGTTGGTGTTCCCCGTGCGACAGGCGATCATCAAAGGGGTCAAGCCTTCGCCTTGGAGGTTGGAGCGGATCCTTGAGTCACTGGATTCCATGCCGTCCTGTCTATCCGGGGCCCTGTAGTGTCAAAAAAGTCTATATAGACTTTTTAGAACATCGCTAGTGGGTTGGAGGCCATCGCTACTAGGTTGGAGGCCATCGCTACCAGGTATAGGAGGCCATCGCTATCATATAGAAACAAAAAACAAAGAACAGGAAGAAAGGCAATAAAGGAGTTATCCACGAATCGACAATGTCGGTACTGATACACTGTATGAAGAAAGGATGGCTTCAAAGCTGACACTAAATCTCTCGGGCAAATACAAACGTCCAACAACTGGTTCTTGAATAGACCTTGAGGTCTGTTGGTTTAACTGTCCCTCCAAATTCAGTAGTTTTTGGTGTCCGTGTTGATCGGTTGGGACACCTTTTCAAAGGCTTGACGGCACTTGACGACCTTGGACCTTGGCTTTTGACACCATATCCCTGTTTACTGGGGTCACAGGGCGGTGGTTGATGATGGCGAATAAGGGCCTCCACTCCAAACGTGACAAATGGTTTTGTTCAACTGGCACAAGTGGGTGTATCATTCTGGATGTACGGCATATGACACAGGTCCGCTGGCAGGTTCGTGAAATGACCGAGCACTGGTCACTTACCACCAAACCAATGCTGGCTCTTCTTTTGAAGCCCATGACATTTGGACATCATATATGTTTGTTTTTGAAAATGGACAAGACGTGACAAGACCAGTCCCATTCCCTAGCTCACCGTCCAAGCAGAAAACCCACACCCTGCACACCCTGGCCCAAGCGTTCTTCATTTGCACTTCTTTGTGGCAATGGTGCTTGGGAGTCCTCCTGTGAAAGCTAGTGTGTGAAAGCAAGCACCACCAAGTTTGGATATTTCAGTATTCCTTAATATTAATAGTGTATTTTGTTACTTATATATAATGTATAATATTGTAGTTATATTATTATATATATTATAGTATATAAACATATAATTAAGGTTTATGTGACAGGACATGGTCTTGCAGGCGTACCGGTTCTTCAACGACGAAAGTCCACGAACCCGAAGGCTCGGCTGAACGTCACCAGCGGTCGGGTTGCTGGCTCGGCGGTCCACCAGCGCATGTGCTTGGAGGAGCAGCTTTGCGATGTCAGCATTGAAGGAGAAGGCCGCCCACATGTGCAAAGGAGTCAGGCCTCGTCTGGTGAATGAGGCCAACACCCTGTGCGTCTTGCTGGTCTTGGGGTACCTTTCGGGATGAGGCTGGGAATATTTCGATACTTTTTGGTTGCAGTAACATCAGATCTCACTTCATGGTCGATGGACACCACTAACCAGCGGAATGCACAGAGATACACAGACTCTATATGGGGATGCCTTGGGTATCCCCTTCATTTGACCATCCCTAGCCTTTGTCTCTGAGGGCCCACGGTCCAGTTTGTGAATGACAACATGTGCCAAACTGGTGATGATCACCAGAGCTATCTTGTCATAGTCTCAGACGGCTACAAAACCATTCCGGGTCTCTTCCTCCTCGGATGTGCTTCTAAGTCTCCTGTTCTAGGACCAAAGTGGCTACTGGTGGGTAAGTCCGGCACAACGCCTTGGATGCTTTGTGGTTCTTGGGGCATGGTACCTCTCAGCAGAATTTATCCAAAGTGACAACGTGTCCTTGAAAGTTGAAGCTATTGTTGTGTATTTCAGCGGAACAAGTTGATTGAAAAGGTTTAAATATAATACAATATCAAGAACTATGTATACAAATACGTGTATATATACACAAAGACTAATATATTATATGATTTCTATTTAAGTACACATGGCCCGCCAAATCGACCTTAGATCGGCGATCTCGGGCCAGCGGCTGGTGCCCAGGAAGAGGTCCCTGTCGGATTGCCTCCGTGTGGCAAACGAGAACACGGTCCACCGACGATGGTGTTCAATAGGGACGCTTGGGACATCCGTCTTTTTGATCGACTGAACAGCTCAGGCTCAGAACATCCGTCTTTGAAAAAGATCTGAACATCTGCCGGTTTTTCAGGTTACATTCCATGTCACCACCCCTTACATGTTTAAAAACACAAAAAAGAACCTCACCTCATCTGGAGAAAACCCTGGCTCCTCTCCATCTTTCCCCTCTAACGTCCGCGCCTGGTCTGGGCCTCGACGCATTCGCAAATGCCCAGCATGCGCGTGACCGCCTCCTTGTCGCTTCGGGCCGCCGCGTAGTGGAGCCTCGGTCCGGTCCCAAGCCCCCCAAGGTCCGGCGGTTGCAAAGATGCCAAGCTCCTAGAAGCGTCCTTGTTCCTAGTAGTAAGGCCAGGAGCCCCTAGTAGCGTCATTGCTCCTAGTAGCGATGCCAGGAGCCCCTAGTAGCTTCTTGTTCCTCCCTTGGGTTTCGAAGCCAAAAGGAAGCATTCTGAAAATGGCATCATCCAACATCCAACGTAAGGGCGGTTTTTGAAGTACCCTCGCTGTAAAAAATACGCACTTTTTATGCAAAACCGTGCAAACGCCCAATCTTGTGGAGAGGGAATTGTAATTTAGCAATCCCGCGCATAATCTTCAACCCTGCTCATACAGGAACATGCAGGAAATCCTGCAGCCTGTCCGATGCAAACTCCAAAACATCCCTTCAAAGAGTGGGGCAAAGGCTCCAAAGCACCCTGAACATCTTTGGGTGCGTAGAACTCTCCAGCTATGCGTCATGTCCCTTCGCATTCTTCGCTGCAATGCTGTTTCAAACGAATGGCTCTTGCTTGGATTCTGAAACTCATTTTTCAAAGTCAAAGCCTCGCGATCCCATGCAAAGCCTTGACAGCACTTCAAGTCTCTAAAATCAAAGACTTCAGCTTACACCAAGGGTGTAGGAAAAATCAACAACTCCAAACAAAGCACCGCACAAATCACCCCTCAAGCATCCTCAAGCATGCCTCTTGCCCCCCCTCCCAAGCACTCCAAACAAGCCGCTGAGTCCAGCCTTTATAGGTCACACATTTGGCGCGGCTCGCCATGTAGGCCAAGCTGCCCGTGCGGCTCAAGCGCTTGAAGAGGGTCCTCGAACGGGTCGGTGCAGGAAACCCGCGGAGCTCGAGACCAGCGGGGCTTCGCTAAAGCAGTCCTGCCCAAGTCTTCCAAGAACTTTGTTTTGGGTGCAGGACTGCTGATTAATAATTCAATATAATTCATATTATAGGTTCTATATTTTCGATGTTTGCGTTGACACCTTTTTGTTGACAAACACGGCTGGTTTTCTGGTGTTCATGAACACAACCCTCAGGACCCCCAAACCTTTGAACATAACGATGGCGAGGTTTGATTGTAGGTTGTAGAGCTTGTACGCTCAAAAACACAACAAAACAACAAATCCGTCAAACTCAAATCCCAACAAATCCCAAGAATCTATCAATCAAGCAACCTTCCCCAACTAGCAATTTCGGAGCCCCGCGCAACAGTTTCATTGGTACAAAAACAAAAAAAACATTCAGAAATCAGCCTCCAGCAGTTCCATTGGTACAGCAGGTCAAACTCATTGACTCATTGAACACTAGTTGCTACAAGTTGCTACTGTTTTTTGAAACGCCATTCTCCGGGTAGCACCCCACTGGAAGCTGCTTTTGGAAGTTGGCACGTTACCAGTTCCGTCGTGCATTTCTGCTGTAATTGAACATCTGCAACTACGGCCAGTGGTCTTGAAGATGATCCAGTGGGCCGTTGGCTTTGCAGGGTTTGCACTTGATTTTGGAGTTGCTACTGCCCGACGTTAATCACAATTCCTGAGCTGAATTGTAAGTGACATTGCTATCGGCGTCCGTCGGTCACCCAATTGAACATCTAGTGCCACCACCACTTCCTTCCACGAGCTTGGTGACAACAACATCGATGTTCTGACCCACTATTTCAAGCATGTTTCAATTTTTGATCCTGCAAGATTCTTGCATGGCTTAGAACACCAGTTGAAAACACTGAAAACGCAAACAACACATTGAACACAAAATTCTATAGACATGACAACAACTGAACACGTAAAAACCCATGAAACCATATCCATCCATATCCCCTAAATGTCAGGCCCCTCATAGGTAGATGCTGTTCGGCTCCGTCAACGGCGCCCGCTTCACGCCAGTCGTGTCCAAGTGTCAAGTCCCCTGTCCGCCGGGTGAGCAAGGCCCTGCATGGGTGCCACATGGGCAACGGGGTCGTGCGAACGGGTGGCGAAAAGCTCCAAACATAGCGTCCGATCGCTCCTAGTAGCAAGGCCAGGAGCCCCTAGTAGCTTCTTGCTCCTAGTAGTAGGGCCAGGAGCCCCTACTAGCGTCCTTGCTCTTACCAGTAGTAGTAGTAGTAGTAGTAGTAGTAGTAGTAGTAGTAGTAGTAG